GGCACAAATGCAAGCTGCCTGGCCACGCTGAAAATGCCCAGAAGCAGATAAATTTGATGGTTCGCTGGCCCAATTTCCAGCATTTTTTGGGCAGCGTCAGCTTTACATAAGCCTTCGGCCTGACGACTTTCCCACTGACCGGGATAAGGTGGGGTTTTTGATTAGTTTGTTGTCAGGCTCTGCAGCATGTTGGGCTGACTCTGCTGACCCAGCCCAACCAGGTGTTGGACAATTACGCCGAATTTTGCCGATAGTTTCAGGCCATGTTTGAGGACCCTGTTTGAAGCCAAACAGCAAACAGATATTTGAGAGAGTTGAAGAAGGGGCGTGGCTCGCTTATGGATTATATTGCTAGTTTTTGGGTGGTTGCTCAGGATGTACAATGGAATGAGGCGGCACTATTAGACCAGTTCCAGGAGGGTTGGTCGTTGGAGCTCCTGGATGAGTTGGCGCGCACTGAATGCCCTCGCACCCTTCAGGACCTCATGCATTTGTGTCTTCATATTGATGCTAGACTTCAGCAGCAACGGGTGCGACGACAGACAGAGACCGTATCTGTTTCCAGCAAGACGGCACCTTTGGTTGAAGTGCCTTTGGAGGAACCCATGCAGTTGGGGGCTGGCCGCCCTTGCCTGACTCAAGTAGAAAAGGAGAGATGTTGTTGTGATGGTTTATGCCTCTATTGTGGCAATCGAGGCCATTGTGTGGCCAAGTGTCCTGTTAAGACATCCACACCAGTGACGCCTGTGGTGGTGGGAAACAAGCATCGCTCAGCTTACGGGGGTCTGTAGGTTGGGGTGTAAAGTCCTTAGGCCCGCCATCTTCACCAACCTTGCCATCCTCGCCACTTTTGATATCTCCACCACAATTGTTATTAGTGAAGCATCTTGCGCTGAAAGCAAGTGTGTTCGTGCCTGGTGTGGGAGCGGTGGAGATCCAAGCCTTGGTGGGCTCAGGGGCCACAGCCAATTTCATGGATGCTCATTTTGTAGAGCAGTGGTTCATTCCTCAGCAACAGGTGTCCCCTCCAGTAATGGTAGAGACGATTGATGGTCAGCCCCTTCGTTCGGGACCTGTGCTTGCTGCAACCAAATCCCTTTGCATGCATATTGGGCAGCATGTGGAGAAAACCGTGTTCTACATTACCGCAGTGCCTCATTTTACAGTGGTGCTGGGTTTGGAGTGGTTACAGGTCCATGATCCACAGATTGTCTGGTCGTCTGGAACTGTGCAGTTCTTTGATAGGAAGTGTGCCAACCATTGCTTGCGCTCCTGTGCAGGGAGTGTGGCTACGCCCATGGACCTGGATCTACCTGAGGAGTTGGTGGATTTTGCTGATGTGTTTGGGAAGAAGGAGGCGGATCAGTTGCCTCTGCATCGGGCGTATGACTGTCCAATCGACTTGCTGCCTGATGCAAAATTGCTAGTGGGTTGGATATATTCCCTGTCGGAACCAGAGTTGGCCGTGTTGTGGGATTTTATTGACAAGAACCTCCGGAAAGGGTTTATCCGGCCTTCTACCTCCCCATTGGCTGCACCGGTGCTTTTTGTAAAAAAGAAATCGGGGGAGCTATGTTTGTGTTGTGATTACCTCAAGTTGAATGCAATCACAGTGAGGAATCGGTACCCGCTTCCCCTCATCCCTGAACTGATTGAGCGGCTTCCTCAAGCTAAGATATTTACGAAGTTGGACTTGCATGGGGCCTACAATCTGGTTTGCATTCATGCAGGGGACGAGTGGAAAACAGCTTTCCAGACGAGGTACGGGCATTTTGAGTATACCGTGATGCCTTTTAGATTAACCAATGCCCCAGCTGTGTTCATGCATTTCATGCACAATGTTTTCCGTGATTTGTTGGATCAATTCATGGTCATTTATTTAGATGACATTTTAATTTACTCAGACTCCCTGCAGGAACATTGGCAACATGTGTGGCTGGTGTTGCAACGTTTGCGTGATAACCACCTGTTTGCTAAACGTGAGAAGTGTCAGTTTGCACAAACCACGATTGATTTCTTGAGACATCGTATTTCACCTGCTGGGGTGGAAATGGATCCGGAAAAAATACAATCGTTGCAGGAGTGGGAACCTCCACAGCGAGTTAAGGATGTGCAATGGCTGTTGGGGTTTGCGAACTACTACTGCACATTAATTCCCTGCTTTGCTGCCCTGACTGCTCCCCTTTCTAATCTGCTCAAGAAGGGGGAGAAGCTCCATTGGGGTGCTGAAGAGCAGGCAGCTTTCGAGGCGTTGAAAGTCGCCTTTGCTTCCAAGCCTATCCTCAAGCACCCTGATCCAGGCCAGCCATTTGTGGTGGAAACAGATGCTTCTGATGTGGCTGTTGGTGCAATGCTCCTCCAGACCTATGCTCCCGCAGGCACCTTGTTCCCGTGCGCTTATTATTCCCGGATGTTGTCGGCTCCAGAGCGCAACTATATGATTCGGGACAAGGAGCTATTGGCAGTTAAGGTCGCTTTTGAGACATGGCGGCACCACCTGGAGGGGGCTCGTCACCAAATCGAGGTTCGGATGGATCATCGCAATTTGGAACACCTATGTACAGCTCAGACATTGAACCAGCGTCAGGTGAGATGGTCCTTATTCTTCGTTCGATTTGATTTCCGGGTGACCTATGTTCCGAATGGAGGGAATCAATGCGCCGATGCCCTATCTCGGATGCCTGAGTATACCTGAAGGGAGGATAAAATCTTGTCCCGGACGGTGATTCCGTTGGAGCGGTTTGTGGCCACCAAGGAACCTGTGGACCTCCGAGTGAGGATTCAGGAGGCACAGCAGCAGCACCCATTTGTGGCAGCTCGACGTCGAGAATTGGATGAGAATGGGAGACAAGAGACTCCTTGGGTGTATATTGGGGACCTGTTGCAGTTCTGTGATCACATTTACGTGCCTGGAGGTCCTCTTTGTGGCCTTATCCTACGTCAATGTCATGATAGTCCGGCGGCGGGACACTTTGGGGTGTTCAAAACACTGCACCTCATCTCTAGGACATTTTGGTGGCCGAGACTTAGACATGATGTGTCGGGATATGTGGCGTCCTGTGGGATCTGTCGCCAAGCCAAGTATGCTCCTGGTGCGCCCCTGGTCTCTTGCAGCCCTTGCCCACGCCAGAACGACTGTGGGGGGCAGTTTCATTGGATTTCATCATTGAGTTACCACCATCGAATGGTGCCACAACCATTTTGGTGGTGGTGGATATGTTGACTAAAATGGCCCACTTTATTCCATGTGCAGGTCTTCCATCGGCCAAGATAACGGCTCAATTGTTTATCTCCAATGTTTTCCAGTTGCATGGGTTACCAGACCACATGGTATCAGATCAGGGGGTACAATTTACAGCACGCTTCTGGCAGACCCTACTTGCAAAACTGCAGGTACAGGCATGTCTGTCGTCTGCTCATAACCCCAAAACTGATGGGGGGACAGAGAGAGTGAATGCTATTTTGGAGCAGTACCTCCGCTGTTTCAGTAATACTCAGCAAGACAATTGGGTGGAAGTGCTGCCGGTGGCAGAATTCGCTTATAACAATGCTCAACATGCATCCACCCATGTGTCCCCTTTCTTTGCTAACTATGGATTTTATCCATGACTTTTCCCTTTAGCCCCGTCTGATTCCCCAATTCCGGCAGTGGATACGTTCTTGCAGGAGTTAAAAGCTGTGCACCACATGGCCCACGATCAACTAGAGAGAGCCAAGGAGGACTATAAGTGATTTGCAGACCGACATCGTCGCGATGTTCCGCCTTTTGCAGTAGGCGATCGGGTTTGGCTCTCTACTCGATACTTACCAACGATGCGACCATCGAAAAAGCTTGATCACCATTACTTGGGACCTTTTCCAGTCGAGGCAGTGATCAATCCTGTGGCTTATCGTCTCTCCCTGCCACGGACCATGCATATCCATCCTGTTTTTCATTGTTCCCTGTTAGTCCCTGCCTTGGCCGACAGTCCGCATAGACCAGCTCCATCACAGCTGGCCCCAGTAGCCCCTCTGGGAGAGGAGGAGTACGAAGTGGATAGTATCCGAGATTCACACCAGTTGCGGGGTCGATTTCAGTATTTGGTGGCATGGAAAGGTTATGAACCAGAGGACTTTACCTGGGTTGATGCCACTGATGTTCATGCTCTTCCTTTGGTCCAGGACTTTCATGCTCGGTTTCCTCAATGTCCTCGTCAGCCTGGTCCCGGTGGAGGGGGCCATGCGGGGGGGATAGTGTCATGCCCCTGGTGGAGACTGACTCTGAGGAAGAGGAGGAACAGCCAACAGGGAATGGGACTGTGGCTCCAGAGGTGGTGGAGGAGGCTGGGGAAGGGCAGAGGCCGGCTGAGCAATCAGAGGAGGATCCAGGCCCATCCCCTATCCATCCTAGGTCACGCAGAGAGGAGAGGATCAGGGAAAAGCGAGGTCTACTCAAGAGGAGATTACCATGATCCTCCTCATGGCTTGCAGCTGGGAGCTATGTATATAAGTTTGTAACTGCGCAGTCAGAATTGCTGGAGTCAATTTAGTGTTTACTTTGAAAGAGGTTTATTTTTGCTGGCGTTCTTCCCATGGACTCTCCTCGGTTATTTTCCTGGAGTTTATGATTAGTTATCTTGGCTTGCTTCGGAACTCTCGTCAGTGCGGTTTGTTTTGGTTTTCTCTTTGCCTCATTATTTACTTTTGTGACTTTAAACTGTGCCTAATAAAATAGTAAAGTTAAGTTGAAGGCCTTAACGGACTTTAATGTATGTTTTGGGTTATTTTGAGAGACTACAGGTTATCACTAGTTGGGCCAGGAAATGCCTGCAAGAAAACAACCCAGCTCAGAGAACACCAAGGACCTCACAACTGATAAATTCCAATTCAAGGCACCGCCCTTTTTCTGTCCACAACTGAGGCTATTTGTCAGGAAAAATACAGAGAAAAACCATCACAAGGGACAAAATCACATGGAAATAGGATCAAGAGGTTAAACCCATTTTTGGATGAAAACTTACAGAAGCGCATGCCAGGATGCCGAAAAATCCGACTTTCTGCACCAAATTCTGGATGGCCAGTTTTGCCCGAGAGGCGAAGTCCTACAGAGAAGGAAGACAACAGGTTAAGGACCCAAAATGGTGGTGATATTAAACAAAACAACTTTGAATTGTGCCGGCATAAAGTAGTCAATTCCACAGGATTATGGATTATGGTTTATGAATTATGGTTTCTCATACCTCACCTTCCCACAGGTAGTCCTCAACTTACAACCATGATTAATAGTGACTTATGACTATTTTTCACACTTACAACCGTTTCAGCATCCCCATGGTCAGGTGATAAAAATTTGAATGCTTGGCAACTGACCCATATTTATGACGGTTGCTGTATCCTGAGGTCATGTGATCCCCTTTTGCGACAAAGTCAGTGGGGAAGCCAGAATCACTTAATTGTATTCCTAACTTAACTACTACAATGGCTGACTTAATAACTGTGGCAAGAAAGGTTGTAAAATGGGGCAAAACGCACTGGACAACTGTCTTGCTTAGCAACTAGAAATGTTGGGCTCAACTGTGGTAGTAAGTTGTGGACTAAACCACTCCACGAAATTAATTTATTAAACAACAGATTTATAACTCACTGAAACACGGGGGGGGGGGGGGGGAAGGGCTCAAGAATTCCTGGCAGCTTTTATAATGCACATTAATACTTCAAAGAATATTATAACAGACCACTATGAGAGAAAAATGTAGCTTACATAACATGAAATAAATCTGTAACCCATACATTATTAATCGAAGCAGTATGAACAGGAATTTGTACTTAACCACAAACTGATTATTTTGAACAACATAATGGGTCCTGCGAATAGCTTAGAGAAGAACATAAAAGCAAGATGATTTGAAACACAAAGACCAACAACACAATGGCATAAGAATACAAGAACGGGCTAATAGATCAAACCCAAGAAACATTTTTTCAACATCTGTTGCATCCAGATGTCTCCTTGGTGGCCACCTCAACCTTCTGGACCTGCCTCCCATTTGAGATCCAAGGGACCCCTTCCCTTTTAGCCCTCCACCAGGCTGTGAAGATCACCCAACATCACCATCCCTAAAGAATGGGCTGGGATGGAGGATTAATTGGGAGGTTGGTTGGTCTGGCACCTGGATGGAGGGGTATGTTTTAACTATGTTATAGAATAGAATAGAATAGAATAGAATAGAATAGAATAGAATAGAATAGAATAGAATAGAATGGAATGGAATGGAATGGAATGGAATGGAATGGAATGGAATGGAATAGAATGGATTCTTTATTGGCCAAGGGTGTTTAGAGTGGAATGTTCTTTATTGGCCAAGTGTGATTGGACACACAATAAATTTATATCCAATGCATAAGCTCTCAGTGTATACACAAACAACAAAGTAATGTAATCATAAGATACCAATAGGAGAATGTAATAGGAAAGATGAGAAGGATAATATTTTATTGTGTATTGTGAGAGCTATTATATGAGAATGGTATCTATATAAGTCAGGGGTGAACAACTATGGCTCTTTAGGACCTGTGGATTTCAACTCCCAGAATTCCTGAGACAATTCCTGAGCCACCCATCCCTGACTTCCACACTGGCTCAGGAATTCTGGGAGTTGAAGTCCACAGGTCAGAAACAGGCTGTAAGCCCTATAAGTAAGTGACTGAGTAAGTAAGTAAATAAATAAGATGGCCAACTCAATAGATCCAGAAATCTCACAAACTGGACACAAAAAGGCAAACTGTCAGCCTTCAAGAATCCTTCTTCTGCTTGCTACACCTGACACAAACCATCTTTTATTGTGGCTTCCTAGCAGCTATTACTTAAGACCTCTAAGAATTTCTACTTTGAAGTTTAGGAATAGTTTCCAAAATTAACAACCTAACCATGTGTGATTTTTTTAAAGACCTGTCCCCCCCTTTTTTTAATATAGTTGAAGTTCACTAGTTCTGCCTTAAGAAAGTTTAAGGTCCTTGGAAGGCAGTGGAGCACTTGCTTGGAGCAGGCTGGTATGACACCTCATATTCTACTTGTAGGTTTCTACTAAGCCTTTGGCTAGCACAGAGAGTTAGAAGTTGGACAAAATGGACATTAGATTCCTCCAAGTAAAGTTTTTCATATGTTCTTATGATATAGTTGAGTCTCCTGACCCATCAATTCAATATTAAAAGATCAATATTGGGTAGCCATGGAGATGGCTTGGAGCCACTGCTGCGGAGATCTCCTTAGATAATTTCACAGATAACATTTTAATGGTCCTTTTGTGGCAAAACCTTTTAACAACTAACAGAACAGAATATCTGTATCTCAGGATTGAAATGTGGGGTTCTTGGGGCTCTCTGAGCTTGGTGGTTTTCTTGAAGACATTTCATTACCTAACTAGGTAACGTCATTGGTGATAGCAGTGACAAGTGCTCTTCTGACAATGTTGATGATGGTGGTTTTTTTTTTTTCCCCAATAATAAAACTGTGATTCTACAAAGTGTTACAGGATTTGACCTGGTTTTACGAACTTTGGGAAATAACAAAGCTTCAAGGACGTAAATAAATTCTTGTCATTCAATCACTATGATTTTAAAAAATAATTATCAAATGTTCTACAACTAAAATTTCCAAATGAGTTTACATTAAAGTGGAAGTCTATTCTGTAAGATTTATAGGACGAAGTTATTACAAATCTTTATCACATATTCACCGTATATATCCACTCAGTATTTAAAACTTAAAATGCAGGTATTTAAAACAATATTCGAGGAGTTGCCACAAAGAAGAGGGAGTCAACCTTAAAATCAGGACAAGAAGCAACAGATGGAAACTAATCAAGGAGAGAAGAACCCTAGAACGAAGGAGAAATTACCTGACAGTGAGAACAATTAATCAGTGGGACCACTTGCTTCCAGAAGTTGTGGTTGCTCCAACACTGGAAGTTTTTAAGAAGAGGTTGGACAACCATTTGTCTGAAATGGTGTAGGGTTTCCTGCCTGAGTAGGAGGTTGGACTAGAAGACCTCTAAGGACCCTTCCAACTCTGTTATTCTGTTAACGTGAACACTGTATATACCAGGGGTGGGCAAACTACAGCCCGCGGGCCACATCCGGCCCGTTGGTCTGTCCAATGCGGCCCGCCCCTGAAAAAAAATCGCTGCCATTGGTCTGTCCAATCCGGCCCGCCCCTGAAAAAAAATCGCTCCCAGCACCCGAGCAACTTCCCAGCAACTTTCGGCTTCCTTTTAACTCGCGGGCACTCGCGCCTGGCCCCGAGCCGCGCGGCGGAGGGGAAGCCCGGTGGGCGGGCGGGCTGCTTGGAGGAGGCGACCCGGCGGTGCTCCGGCAGCAGCAACAGGCAGTTTCGCCCGGGCTCCGCTCAGGTGTCCGGCTGGGGCTGTCAGGAGTTGCTACCGCCGGCGCAGCTCCGTGCGGCTCCAGTCCCGCGTTGCCTTGGGAAGGAAAAGGCAAAACCAGGAGCCGCTGAGCCTGAGCCTCCGGTGCCGCTGCTCCCGTTGCAAAGCACCGCCACGGCTCTTCCTTTTTGCCTTTCCCTTCCCGAGGCAACGCGGGACTGGAGCCACGTGGAGCCGCGCCGGTGGTAGCAACTCCTGACTCAGGGGGCCTCCGAGGGGAGGGGAAGGAGGAGAAGAGGGGGCGGGAAGAGTGGGGGGGGCGATTCCCAAAAAATCTTGTGCTGACCCGGCCCGTCCGTCAAATTTTAAAAGTCAATGCGGCCCCCGAGCCAAAAAGTTTGCCCACCCCTGGTATATACTGTAAATCTAAGAGTAGGAAACATATGGATTAAGAAATAAGATTCTTCAGAAATAAGAATATTCAGAAACAAGGGACAATTTGTGGCAAAAGCTTCACATTAAAGTTTAAGTTTATAGTCTTATCAATTTTTTGCAGGTAGTAATTATGTATTTCTGTAATTTTAGATCAGAGTTTTAAAAGTCAATGCTTAAAGAATCTTAAAACCATAAATGAGAAATAAGAATCAACAGAATGAATGCAAATGTAACATATAGGACCAATGAAAAATTTGAGGAAAGATAACTTTGTAGTAGCGAAACTCTGCAATTTAAATGTTATATATGTATAACATTAATTGATGTATACTTCATTTAAATTAAGGACATATTCTTAGGGTTCATTCCTTCATCAGTCATCTCATAAAAATGTACTGTTCTGAGAAGGATTGGTCATTGCTTCCAGGAAATCCCCTTTTATATACATTTTAACTTTGTTTCAGTCTTTTTAAAAACAAATGATTTGATTTAATTTTAAATTGTTTTAAAATAATTTTTTTAAATTATTGTATGTTGCTGTCTTATAATTTTTAAATTTTCCTGAGCAGTTGCTAAATGGAGGCGGAATTAAAAATACAATACATAAATGAGAGGATAATAAAAATTGTTTTTTATGCGGCAACTTCTCTACAATAAATATATACAAACCCGAATCTAATTAAACTGATTATACAGTGATGAAATCCAAAGTTAGTTTTAAATTTTTACTGTGGTAATTTAAAGGTCATTAAACCAATTATTTTTAAACTCTGCTTATTCATTAAAATAATTTATCTTTCAGATGTTTTTAATGTAATACTTTCTCTTCTTGTTGGTTGACCAGTTTATTGCTTGGGGAGTAAAAAGAGGAAAATTCTTAATTTGGAATTAACTATTAATTCTGCAGAATTGTTTCCAATAGTGGAAAATAGGCTAATTTTATATGCAAGCAAATAATTGAAGGACAACAGATTTATTTTATGAAGAAAGAAAGAAAGAAAGAAGGAAGGAAGGAAGGAAGGAAGGAAGGAAGGAAGGAAAGAAAGAAAGAAAGAAAGAAAGAAAGAAAGAAAGAAAGAAAGAA